ATATATATATATATATATAGCCTGAAAAGAAACAGGAAAGTATGGCCCATTTCAGTCTCTAGAAACTGCCCTTAAGGAAGGCTAGATGTTGAACTTACTAGATAGAGATTTTCTTTTTCTTTTTTTAATTTTAATTAATTTCTTTTTTTTTAGTTTTTTACTTTATTTTTTAAGGTTTTTTAAAAAATTTGTTTGTTTTTGAGAGAGAGAGAGAGAGAGCACGCATGTGTGTATGAACAGCAGGGAGGGGCAGAGGCAGAGGCAGAGGCAGAGGGAGAAGCAGACTTCCCGCTGAGCAGAGAGCCCCACACAGGGCTCAATCCCAGGACCCTGGAATCATGACCTGAACTGAAGGCAGACACTTAACTGACTGAACCACCCAGGCGCCCCAGTTTTTTATTTTAATTCCAGTATAGTTCACATACAGTGTTATATTTAGTTTCAGGTGTACAATATAGTGATTCAACAATTCTATACATTATTCAGTGCTCATCATGATAAGTATACTCTTCATCCCATTCACCTATTTCACCCATCTCTCCACCCCCACCACCCCAACCCCCTGCTCTGGTAACCAGTTTGTTCTCTATAGTTAGGAGTCTGTTTCTTGCTTTGTCTCTCTCTCTCTCTTTTCTTCCTTCGTTTTGTTTATCAAATTCCACATGAGTGAAATCACATGATATTTGCTTTCTCTGACTTATTTCACTTGGCATTATACTCTCCAGCTCTACGCGTGTTGTTGCAAATGGCAAGATTTCATTCTTTTTTATGGCTGAATAATATTCCATTGTGTATATGTACCACATCTTTATCCATTCATCTATGGATGGACACTTGGGCTGCTTCCATAATTTGTCTGTTGTAAATAATGCTGCAATAAACATAGGGATGCATATATCCTTTTGAATTAAGTGTTTTTGTATTCCTTGGGTAAATATCCAGTGGTGTGATTACTGGATCATAGCATAGTTCTATTTTTAGTTTTTTGAGGAAACCTCACACTGTTTTTCCAGAGTGGCTGCACCAGAAATGCACTGCATTCCCCCCAACAGTGCACAAGGGTTCCTTTTTCTCCACATCCTCACCAACACTTGTTTTTTTGTGTTTTTGATTTTAGCCATTCTGACAGGTGTGAGGAGATATCTCATTGTAGTTTTGATTTGCATTCCCCTGATGATGAGTGATGTTGAGCAATTTGTTATGTGTCTGATGGCCATCTGTATTAGACAGAGACTTTATTTTTTTAAGATTTATTTATTTGAGGGCGCCTGGGTGGCTCAGTTGTTAAGCGTCTGCCTTCAGCTCAGGTCATGATCCCAGGGTCCTGGGATCGAGCCCTGCATCAGGCTCCCTGCTCCGCAGGAAGCCTGCTTCTCCCTCTCCC